TAGGTAGACTTTTCTGATTACCTGTTCTTTTGAGAATATGTAGTGATAATAAAATGATAACTCTTCAGCAATTGGCTTTAGTCAGGAAAAGTAAATATTAACATTTTTAAATGAATGCATAACTAATATGGGCATAAATGTGAAGCAAAATATAATATCATGATCTGTCTTCTGGTTATGAATGTGTGTTCTGTAATAATCAATATCCTAAAAATTCTTCTGATTATGGTTTGTTTGACTTAATTTTGCACCAAAACTAGCAGGCACCATTCAGAGACTGCTATGGCCCTTTAACAGGAATGATAATTTATGAATATTTATTTATTATCAAATTTATACGGCCACCCATCTCACAAGAAGTGACTGTGGACAGCATACAGCAAAAAACAAAACAAAACAAAACAAAACAAAACAAAACAAAACAAAACAAAAAACAATAAACATGTCACACGCACAATTTGATTCAGTTCGATCCGATTAGAGTTTTTCTGTAATATAGTTCCTGCAGATGGTAGCTGGTGGCAATTGTGGCCAAGGAGGCTTTGCTTAGTTCCATCTGGTGTGCCAGCTGTACTCTTTCTTGGGTTGGGAAGCTGTTCAGATGGTCGTTCATGCCCTAAGTCACCTCAAAGCTCAACTACTGCAATACACTCTACCTGGAAAAATGTAGCAGTAGAAACAGTGATGGGCATGCCTTGGTACGCCCTTGTAGCACTTTTGCTCTGTGAGCTACATTTGTTACCAATCTGTTTTGAGGTATGATTTAAGATACTAATTATCACCTATAAACCCTACATGGCACAGAACCAGGTTATCTGAGGGACTGCCTGTCTCCCATGCTTTTTGCCTGGTTGATACATGCTGGTCAAGTTGGCATGCTCCAGATCTTTTTGATTGATCTATTGCCCAATGAAGGAGAAGGAAATGCACCTTCTCTGCCCTTTGGGATCTTTTTCTGAAATCTGTGTGGCTGTCACGTCCTTGGTATTCCATAAAGACCTGAAGACCTGGTTATCCTTCCAGGCAGGGGTGGGTTCTAAAATTTTTTACTACTGGTTCTGTGGGCATGGCTTATTTTGTGGGCGTGGTTTGATGATTATGTGACAATTCTTTAGGATTTAGCAGAGGTACTGGTCTACCAGGCTTTTAACTGCTTGCAGAGCTGTACCGGTCTACTCATTTGTTTTTGGAGGCACTGGTCTACCCATTCGTTTTTGGAGGCACCGGTCTACTCATTCATTTTTGGAGGCATCGGTCTACTCATTCGTTTTTGGAGGCACCGGTCTACCACCACACTGCCTTTTAACATTGATCAGCTGTAGGGGGGCCCTTTGAAGCCCCGCAGCAAGAGTTTAAACAGGTTTTTTCCTTCTAGCCAATCAGCTGGGACTTGGGAGGCAGCAATAGATTGCGGGTGGGGCCAAATAAAAGATAAGAATAATGAGGGGGCGGGCGGGCGGGGGGGCAGGAAGGCCCAGCTCCCGAATAAAGAGAACCGGTTCGGTGACATCATATTGTCACTGCTACCGGCTCGGCCGAACTGGGCCGAACTGGGAAGAACCCACCACTGCTTCCAGGTGTTGGGATGAGATATACAGGGCTTCTTTTTGACTGTGTCTATTATTTTTATTTGTAGAATAGAATAGAATAGAATAGAATAGAATAGAATAGAATAGAATAGTGTGCGTGCGTGCGCGCGCGCGCGCGCGACCCCCCTCCCCCCCGCTTCTCACATGTGATGGCCCGGTAGGCCCGTTTTTCTGTCTCACCTGGCTCCAGACCCTCTCTATGCATCTGGGGAGAGGCTCTGGAGGCTGGGGACAGCAAAAAAGTCACTTCCTATCCAACCGGAAGTTGGGAAACAGGCCGTTTTGGGCCTCCAGAGGGTGTCCGAGGGTGTGGGGAAGGCTGTTTTCATCCTCCCCAGATGCATAGAGAGGATCTGGAGCCAGGTGAGAAAGAAAAACGGGCCTTCCCCATCCCCCCAGGCCCTCCGGAGGCAGGAAACAGCTTGTTTCCCTACTTTCTGGTGGGCCCAGAAGGCCCAAAAATCAGCTGGCCGGCGCACGCATACACAACGGAGCTGAGCTGGCATGCCAGGCGACATGGCTCCATGTACCATCTGTGGCATGCATGCCATAGGTTCGCCATCACGGACATAAATGATCTTTCTCCACCCCCCCTCCCCAAATCTCTCTACTGCGATACTAGAACATAGAACGATATAGTTGGAAGAGACCTTGGAGTTCTTCTAATCCAACCTCCTGCTCAAGCAAGAGACCCTATACCATTTCAGATAAATGATTGTCCAATCTCTTTTTGAAAGCCTCCCATGATGGAGCACCCACAATTTTGAAGGCAAGTTGTTCCATTGGTTGATTGCTTTGACTTTTAGGAAATCTCTACTTAATTCTAGGTTGCTTCTCTCCTTGGTTAGTTTCCATCCATTGTTTCTTATCTTGCCTTTTGGTGCTTTGTAAAATAGTTCGATCCCCTTGTCTTTGTAGGAGCTCCTCAAACATTGGAACACTGCTATCATGTCTCCCCCTTGTCCCCAACAGTGTTTTATACAAATGCTGTTTTACCCTGCTTTTGCTGCCAGTTGTAACATCTCAGAGATCAAAAGAAACACATCACGATCAGAATTTGTTTGTCAGAACCAAAACAAATCAGGTCCCAATCTGGAAAATTAATACCTATTCTGAATTACCCACTCTCCCTTCTATTTTGAAGTCTAGTTGAATCTTGATTTTCATTCCTAGCTTGATGGCTTTTTTAACACTTGTATTAAAGTTTTCCAAGGGCAGCTGAAATGTTGCTGTTCCTTGGGGAACTCTATAACACAAAACACACATTCTTGAACACTGTGCAGCACAAAAAGTAATTTCTCAAGGACAGTCTTGTCTATTTAATCTCCAAATCATCTGGATTTTCTCTGCCTCCATTTGAACTGCCTAGAAGGATAAAGTTGTTAAATGATGTATCATCTATTTCTCAAATGGACAGGCAAGGGAGAATGTTTATTTGCTGTATTATTTTTTTTTACCAATACTACATGAGAGTATAAGTTTTCTATTGTCAGTCTAATCAGACAAATATATAGGTAAAGTAACATAGGTAAAACCAGAATCTACGTATTACCATGTCCTGAAATACTGTCTGCCAGTATTTTGTCTCTACTTTCAAACTAATGGTATGCAACAAAATATTCTGATTGGAAGAGTAGGCTATGGATCCTAGCAGGTACAGAATAGAAACAGCATGCTTGGGGTAAAACTGGGCTTTGATTATACTTGTGGCAGTCTGACCAAAATGTGTTAAAACTGGCTATTCTTATCATGATCAAGGAATACTGTTGTGAGTCTCTAGGAATCAATTTGTGATTGTGATTGGATATAAGTGCAATAAATAAATAATAAACAAAACAAAATAAAATGAATAAGATTCATAACAAAATTGAATAGTAAGCAAAAAGGAACAGGGAATGGTTCAAGAGGAAGGGGAATACGTGAAAGGTGCAGCTTGATGAAGAAATGAAAAAAAGAGAGTACAAAGAAGTTTAAAGAACAAAAGGCAGTAAATGGAAGTGGGGAAAACAAGGATAATTCACAAAGATAAAAAGATATGGTTAAGTACAATGAAAATGGTAGATTCAGATTCAACTTCTTGGGTTATCTCATACATTTAATTTCATACATTTAATTTCCTTGGGTTATGATTTCTTTCTCCCTTTGTTTGCATAGCATTGGTTATCTCAATGGGAATCTATATCCACCATATCCATATTAGGCTAAGTGATCTGCCTTAGTTGTCCTCCTCAGTCTGAGATGCACCCACCTATGAGAATGGGCAGAATGGTTTGTTGTTGCTTGCTTGATAATTCAATCACAGCAGCAGCAAAAATAATGGATAGGTTCACACAATTATGGCAATGAGGATCTCTTTTTTTCCAATCTTGTAATGACTTCTTTCATTTTTGTCTACAGTAAAGTTTTTAATCTAACCAAGTCATGTTTGGGAGTCTTCTGCTGAGTCTAGCCAAGAATCAGATTAAGGGTTAAATGTCTCAATGCCTGTGATTTACTAGAAACTGGGTATGAGCCTGGTAGGTCCTGCTGAAGATATTATTCCTGTATCTTAATTGCCTTTGAATATATGACAATATGTGACAATACTGTAGCTTTTTATTTCTTAATTTAGGAAACTTTTGAGAGTTTCTACACATTTTAATAGGCTGATATTTTTTTTCAAGAATATTCCATTTATTGGTTTTGTAGATGAAGGAGCTGCTTATATGATATCTTAATTTAAATTGTATTTGCTCATAACTGGTTTATAATACTATTTTTAACAATGTTGGGTTCATTTTGGCTTTAAGTGCAAGGCATAAATCCAGATAATTATGGCAATCTAATATAGCCATAATAATTTAGACACTAGAGTCATCATTTGATCATTTCTATTTCTATTCTTCTCATTACTATACTGTATTCTGTGAAAGTACTATGAAAAAGCTCTAAGTAAACATAAACAGAAATAACTTTAAATCTTTAAAGTTGTGGTGTTTGCACCAATATTTTAATAGCAGAATCAGTATGGGATTATCTTTCAGGGGAACATATATTCTTTCAATGTCCTTTCTTGATATTGTCTGTTGAAAAAAGTAGAGGATGCTATGTAAGACTTCCATTTCAGACCTTTAGAGAATCACAGACAGTCAAAATAGGAAGGTTATGTTCCTTTTTGGGGGAGTTCAGTCCTCTTTATAGAAAGCTATCACAAAATAGTGCTATGTTTATAGCACTTATTCTATTCAAAGGGTTGACCAGATGATATTGAATTTCAAAGACAAAAAGTCAGAAGAAGAAGAAGAAGAAGAAAGAAGAAAATTGTCTATCAGCTTATCATACAGATACAAGTCCTTCAGTGCCAATCTATGTTGTATAACCTATGCTGATTTTTTTTTAAAAGAAATGGAAAGCAACTGGGAATATACTTACCTTCGCTACCGGTTCGCAAATGTGAGCGCACATGCACAGGGACTTCCGCGCATGCACAGATCGTCAAAAACAGGAAATGATGACATCCGGGTGGGTGAGCGGAGCCTTCCACAGCCGCCGCAACCAATTCTCTCGAGCCGGATAGAACCGGCTGAATATCACCACTGGTGTGGAAGCTGCAAATAAGGTATTTGCAGGTATAAGGTGAGACAGTCTCAGACAACGAACTAAAAGTTATGAATTGTTTGTCACAGCAAGTATGTAGGGATTGATATAATTTATTTATAGTGATTTCTAAGTTTACATCTATATCTATACCATATACATTTTTGAAAATTTGAAAATTTATATCCTTTATTATTATTTATTTATTAATCAAATTTCTATACCGCCCTACTCCCGAAGGACTCAGGGCGGTGAACAGCCAAGATAAAATACAGATAATACAAATATTAAAAAAATCCCTTAAAATTATTAAATATTTCGGCCAAAACACAGATTAAAACACCCAATTTGTAAAATCACGAATTAAAAAATTTAAAAATTTAAAAGATGGGAGTTAGGCCAGGCCAGCTTGCTGAAATAGAAAAGTTTTGAGAGCACGGCAAAACGTGCGTAGGTCCGGGATCTTCCGTATCTCTGGGGGGAGCTCGTTCCAGATGGTAGGTGCCCCCACAGAAAATTTATATCCTGAATCATATACGTTTCTGATATTCAACAAGAGATCTATTAAGGTATCTATAGCAGATGGAAGCAGTGAGCTCCTATGAGGTAAAGTGATTTTAGAAGCTAAGCACAGACAGACCTGATTGATACTTGGATTGGGAACTACCTAGGAATTGTAGGGCAATTAGCTAGACTAGGAAGATGAAAAAGTATCCCAGAAGGTGGTTGTGGCAAACCTTTTCCATATTGCTGCCCAGAAATATTTATTGATGCAGTCACTGGGGGTTGAGTTCAACTGGAGAATCTGTTTATCTTTCTATCTATCAAAATGAAATTTAACACTTGGGCAATTTCAGTCATTAGATACACAGCTGGAATAGTGGACTGGATTCAAGCAGAACTAAAAGTCCTGGATAGGAAGACCAGAAAAATAATGACAATAAATCATGCCCTTCATGCATGCAGCAATGTTGACAGACCAAGGAAAATAAGTGACAAGGAATGTTGCAAGTAGACCAGACAGTTGAAGAAGAAAAAAGGGCATTGGAAGAATATCTGAAGGACAGTGAAGAAGATACACTGATGCTAGTGCATATGAAGGCTTACTGAATACCAGAGAGATCAAGCTGGCCCACAAGATAGACAAAATGAAGAAGGAAAAAGATAGGGCAAGGCAAAACATTACTACAACCTAGCAGGGAAATCAGATAAGGACAAGATAGCTAAGAGCAGGAAAGTTGAAGAAAGAGACTGAGGCACTAATTCTGTTTGCACAAGACCAAGCCTTAGAATAAATGCATTATAAAGCCTGAATTGAGTAGACGGCAACAAACACCAAATGCCATCTCTGCAAAGAAACAGTGGATTAGCCATTACAAGAAGATTGCACAGACAACATGACAAAGCAGCAACAATGGTGCATTGGAATATCTGTAAGAAATACAATTTGCCTCAAGCAAGAACTGGTGGGACCACAAAATAGACAAAGTAATAGAAAATGAACTAGCTATAAAGCTCTGGGATTTTAGAATTTAAACAGACAAGCACCTGTCACATAAACACCCTAGACTTTACCATTGTTGATAAGTAAGACAAAAAAGTCTGGATAGTGGACATGGCACTTCCTGGAGATAACAGAAGAGAAGAGAAAGAACTGGAGAAAATCACAAAATAAAAAGACCTGCAAATAAAAATAGAACGAGAGCTCCTTTGTGCTCTCTGAGTTCTGGTTGTTTTCTTGCACACCTTTCATTTCCAAACTCGGTAACACAGTGGTGAAATCCAAATTTTTTTACTACCGGTTGTGTGAGTGTGGCTTGGTGGGCGTGGTGTGACTTGGTGGGCATGGCAGAGGAAGGATACTGCAAAACCTCCATTCCCACCCCACTCTAGGGGAAGGATGCTGCAAAATCCCCATTCTCTCCCCACTCCTGGAGAAAGGATATTGCAAAATCTCCATTCCCACCTCACTCTGGGGCCAGCCAGAGGTGGTATTTGCTGGTTCTCCGAACTGCTCAAAATTTCCGCTACTGGTTCTCCAGAACCTGTCAGAACCTGCTGGATTTCACCCCTGAGGTAACATCATCAATGCTAATGATATTACCCAGTTTGGATAATGAAACATCTGCAAAAAAAATAACCAAGCTCAGAGAGACCAAGGATCCCTCATTTCAACCCTGAGTTATAAATATTCTCCTTTATCAATAGAAGTAAAACAAGTGTGGCAAAAGAAGCAGATTCCATCAGTTATATTCATGGCATTGCAAAAACCTATGTAGATATTAGAAGCAAGATAGTACAATATGGGAATAAGAATGAATAATAATGTATTGATAGATGAGAGAGGATGGTTTCAGAGCTTCTAGTTTTGTGAACTATAACTCTGGATTCCCATCTAAACGAGGATGATCAGTACTGTTGTTAGATGAGAATTCTGGGAGTTGTAAGGCAAAAACATTTGAAAGTTGAAGATTTGATTGAAGAAAGTTGACACCCATGGTTGTACCAAGTTATTTCTTGGTCCATTATGCTTGTGTGAATGTTCCTATGTTTTAAATAATACTGAAGCAGTGATCTTCCTTTAAAAGATCACTTTGTTATGAGATGGGTGGGACTGGAGGCAGATTTCTCAGTGATGGTTGTGCTTTATAGAACTGCTTTCCAAGTACTCAGCATTTAAAAAGACTTTTAAAAACCATCTCTTTTTAACAGAGCTGAAGAAGCTTCTTGGATGAGAAGTGAAATGTCTTCTAGGAAAAAACGAAGTCCAGTTGCCTTCTGAAAAAGCACTTTTGGGACATCTCTTTTTAATGTTTTTAGCTGGTTGTTCTATTAGTCATATTGCTATTTTATGTATGTTTTATTGCTGTGCCTCTGGAAAGGGATTTTATGCCAGCCAAATTATATTTTAATATTGGGGTATATTTCTAAAACACTATTACTTTAGTCTGTATATTTCTATACTGTACACATTTATTGTCCTCACTGGATTTGATTCAGAAAAGCAGTGCATAGCTAAAGAAAGCTAAATAACACAATATCCTAAACATTTAGGATATTTTTGGATAGAAATCTTAAATCTTCCTCTGTTGGCTGAAAAGTAAAGGAAATATTTAGTTTGCTTGTTTTAGAAAGAAAAAGATAGATACAGAATTGAATGATATTGTTAGGAGAGGAGAAAGATTCTGAGATGCTACTGACAATATGATGAACACCACTGCAATTACAGTAACTTTAAATTAATTAATAATAAATTCCAGACTTTCCTAAAGGCTCATTTGTGCATTAGCAGCTGCAGTTATGGACTTGAGGTGAGCTCATCAAATTTACTGAGGATCTCCTATGCATATAGGATGGATCATTGATCCACTGACAAGCTGGTAAAACATATTTCTAATATTTCAGACAATTGGTGCCTACCTAGAACTGACTGCTCTCACTGAAATAGCAATCTGTTTCAAAATCAGTGACTAGGTTCACTATCACAGAAGCCTTACGTCTGCCTATTATTATTTATGTGACATGCTTACCAAGAATAATGGAGCATTTGAAATCTTCAGCAAAATACCACTGTGTATTCAAACATGCATGTTATTCTCTACATATTTATTCAAACCCCCCTCCTTTATTATAGTAAATATTGAGTTTTGTACCCATTTTTGACAGCCTTTAGAAGTCACACCCAAGATTTTAAGAATCAGAGGATGGCTTTTGAAGGAAAAAAATGGTAGGCTGGTATGGGAGAATCACAGAAACATATAGTTGGAAATGGCCAATTAGATATCATGTTCAGCTCTCTGTTCAGCATAGTAATTAGAATTAAAGTATCCCTTTGAAATATCTATCTTTAGATTTAACATATCTATCAAAGCACACCCTAGTAGATAATCGGTTTTATTGGAAACTTCTCTAGGATGTTTTTTTCTAACATTGATCTGGAATTTGACATTATCTCTCTCTCTCTCTCTCTCTCTCCTATCTAACTATCATTTTTATTATGTCTCCTATCTCACTCTGAAAACAACTCTGCCTTTTTGTAGTTTAAGATTGTTATTCATATCTTGCACTATGAGATGTTAAAGAACAAGTTGTAGTCCTCGCAGACTTCTTATTTTCTAGACTACATTTACTGATTTCTCTCAATGTCTCCTGTATAAAATATAATTTCCAGTTCCCTGATCTGGAAATATTCAGTTGTGAGAAGCCCTTCTTTTCAGATAGCTAAATCTCATGTTATTTTAATAAGTCCCACTATATTTACGGAATTCATAACATACTTCAATGTTTACCAGCTTGATGCCCTACAAATAGAGTGGTCTTCAATTTCCATGCCCCGACTAGCATATGGCTGAGAGAATTGGCAGGAGAACATGTCCGATAAAAGGCTGGTGTATGCAATGTTCACTGCTTGAGATGATTTACTATGGCACTGTGAAAGGAGAGATGTAATAGTATTATTTAACTCTATGAGTATAGCATGATCTCAGGTTAGTCCTCGACTTACAACCATTCAAAGTAACCATAGCACTGAAAAAAGTGATTTATGTCTGTTTTTCACACTTATGACCGGTGCAGCATCCCCATGATCACATGATCAAAATTTAGATGCTTGGCAACTGACTCATATATATGATGGTTGCAGTTTCCTGGGGTCATGTGATCACCTTTTGAGACTTTTTAACAAGCAAAGTCAATGGTGGCGCAGCAGACTAAAGAACTGTTATTAACATCAGCTGCCTGCAATTACTGCAAGTTCTAATCTCACCAGGCTCAAGGTTGACTCAGCCTTCCATCCTTTCTAAGGTAGGTAAAATGAGGACCCGGATTGTGGGGGGCAATAAGCTGACTTTTTATAAATATACAAAAGTATGAAGGCTATTGCTTAACACATTGTAAGCTGCCCTGAGTCTCTGGAGAAGGGCGGCATATAAATCAAATTAAAAAAAAAAAAAATTAAAAAAATGGGGAAGCCAAATTCACTTAACAACACTATTACTAATTTAACAACTGCAGTGATTCATTTAACAGCCATGGCAGGAAAGGTCACAAAATGGGGCAAAGTTCACTTAACAACTATCTCGTTTAGCAACAGAAATGTTGGGCTCAATTGTGGTTGTAAGTCGAGGACTACCTGTATAGTCCTGTACATACATTAGCACTACAGTTTCATTTATCTTCTTTTTTTATAAAAAAGGATATTGATGTTGGTGGTAGAAAGATTTGATGAAGAGTACAGATGATGGTACAGAGACAAAAATGGTTTATCTTTCCATAACATCTCACTTTAATTCTTCCCTGTGTGTTTTCTTTCTTCTACCTCACTCTGTAAGATTTTAAACTCTTGTGCCAGAATGCCACTGGTAAACTTATTTACCTCATATTTAATTTAGTATAAGCTCCCCAAATTACTATTTACCTTGTGAATGTATATATTAGTTCAATGTATCGCTATTTGAAAAACAATTCTGGCAATTCTGACCCACCCTCTAGATAACTTTAGGCTGCCAACTAGTCCTTTTTAAAGAAATTGACTTTCCAAACATGACACTATGTGTCAAAAGAACTGGTAGGATTTCCAGATCTCATGTCTCATGTCCAGGCTGATAAGGCACATAGCCCAGATCTCACACAACTCACATCACAGGATTGTTGTTGTGGGGAAAATAGGAGGAGGAAAGTGTGTTGGATAGGTTTGCCCCCTTGAGTTTTTTGTAAAAGGTAGGATACAAATAAATAATAATGTTCTTGAAATGGTAAAATGCAATAACTAATTTTTGTCCAGCTTCCAGCACAGCGGTGACAATATCCTGGTGTGTGTTATTAGCAGAATGGATGTCCTAAATTACCACCCCCATGACAAGAAAATGGTTTTGATCAACTGGTACAATTCAACATAATTTACATCTCCTAATAATGAAAATGATACATTTATTTATGAGTTTAGAAAGATAGGACATCCCTTAGAAATCTCAGCCTAACTATTAGTTAATAGCAATGAAAAGTTAAATTGTCTTATTGACAATGGAGGCATGAATTCTCTCTCCTTTTTTTAAACCTACAGCGAGATTTTAGTAACTGCTGTTCTGAATGGTAGAACAATGGTTTCTTTCATTAATGGCCATGTTTTATTTACCAACTGTCTTTGGAATGAATCAAGTCTGTGTTTTATGGCTATTTGTTTGTTATCTTAATGATCCCTGCACTTCAAAGGGAGGAGCTGAGTAGATTTTCATCTTCTTTTAATCCATCAAAATCAAGTTAGTTGCAACTGATGGGGGGAATCTGACTGTTGTGCCCAGATACATCAGCTCTGAGCTGAAAGTTTGCTGGTTGCTTGGCAACCTTCTTCCAGGAAGATAGATGTCCTGCCATTGGTTCCTTTTTTAGCTGAGACAGAATATATTAGTGATAATGTTCTGCTGCAGACAAAGGGAAAGGCAACTGAGCTTAGCTTTCAGGGACTATTTGTGTCCCTCAATAGTTGCCTATAGTTTCAGAATTAGACAAAATGTTCCTTTTTAATTCTTCCTTGTTAATTTACTTGACTTCATAATGTAAGGTTCATAACAATGGTGCTAATCCTATTCATTTCATTTATGCACAGTCTGCTCTCCTTCCAGGAATGGAGACTTTAACTGTCCTCTTTTATATGTGTGCATACATGTGAACATGCATACATAAATACATAGCATGCCTCCAGAAATAAATTCAAAGTTCAAAGTGGTATTATCAGCATGACTGGTAATAAATTGAAATTTGTATTTATAGAAATATTCTTATACATTAGAAATGTTGGAAATGAATACATTTAATGTTTTCTCGGTACATATTTAGGACATAGAATGTTTGCAGAATCTCTTTCTGGGGTTCATTTTTGCTGGTTGCTCATAAAAAAAAAACCTAGATAAGTAAGACTGGAAAGTATGAATTAACAAACCTAAGAAAGCAGGAACATCATTACTTCCCCAAAGGATTTTCTAGCTAGGAATTCAAAAAGAAGTCTACTTATTTTAATGGAAATTACTTACAAGCATGTGTATTCTAGATCCATATACTTCAGAATGAGGGTCATTAAGCTTAATGGGAATTGGTTTTGACAAGACATGCATAGGATTGTGTTCTTAGTTTTTCTTCCTTTTCCTTTAACTTAACTTCAGCTAAGCCTTTCTGTGTTGGAGTCCAAGGAAGATGCTGCTCTGCTTTATCTGGATAGCTGTTCTTATTAATGTGTCACACCATAGTCGTTCCCAAACAATGATTCTGGAGATGCAGATGAGCTTGGATGTCATTTGGTATCTTCCTCTCTTGGATGATGTTGATATTTACAAACTTACCCTCCCTGCAGTTTAATTAAGATTTTCTGTAATCTATGTCCAATGTACAGTAGAGTGAGCTGGTTTGCATTATTGCAGTGAGATGTCTCTCTTCACCATCTCTTCTAATGCCCAAATCTCAACACCAGGTTTAATAAAAAGGAACACTTGTTCAGCTGGCAGATGCCATTCTGCCCATGATGACATCAATGGATATATTTTTCAGAGTAGAATTTGATTTTACAAAGGAAATGGACAGATAGTGCTTACTTCTGTTGTTAATGGGTGAAGGATATTTACAGGAATGAATGAATAGGCATAAAAATAATCCTCCACATTTACATTAACTAGTATTCATATGTTCTAGAAACAATAATCTTGCTGTCGTATTAACTAGCTTCTTCCTGCCATGTCCTTCTTCAGCTTGCTTTGTTGACTTAGATTCATACAAAGTTGTTCCAAGTATAACACAAACCTATTAAATTGCCTAAACAGGTTTTTTTACTTGACCGCATTTCTGTAGTCCAGTAATTTGAGTAACCAGATTATTAAAGCATAACTTTTAATAGCATTTAGCATAGCATTTAGATTTATATACCGCTTCACAGTCCTTTAATAGCCTCTCTAAGTGGTTTAAAGAGTCAAGATATTGCCCCCAACAATTTGGGTCCTCATTTTACTGACCTTGGAAGGATGGAAGGCTGAGTCAACCTTGAGCCTGGTGAGATTTGAACTGCCAAATTGCAGGTGGCCAGCAGTCAGCAGAAGTAGCATGCAGTACTGCACTCTAACCAGTGCGCCACAGTGGCTCTTAATTATATCTCTGGTGAGTGGCTACAGCCCATTCACAATTATGTCTTTAAATCAGAGGTGAAATGCTCTGGTTCTAGCAAACTGCTAGCGATAAAAACTACTGGTTCAGGCAAACCGGTGGTAAAAAAAAGCTATGAAAGCAGGATTTCCTGCTTTCTAGCAAAGCTAAACCACACGGCACAGGTGATCGTCAGATCGTAGCTTTTTTTAAACTACCAGTTCAACCAAACCGGTAGCTAATTACCGGTTCAAAAGAAATGGCAGCTTTTTAAATGGGCAGCGCATATTTGGTGCTCACTGTGTATGTGCATGCAGTGCACGTTTGGTGCACACTACGCATGTGCATGCAGCAGCGTGCATGCATGGCCAGCGAACTGGTAGCAAACCGGTTCAGATTTCACCCCTGCTTTAAATATCAAAATATTTTTGGGATGGGATACACATCACATTAAACCTTATCATGGGTCATTTGGTTTTGGCTCATTATTTATTTTTTTACACAAATGTACATACACAAATTATGACATAATCCAAATTCTGTACTTTAGTCTTGCCCTATATTTTACATACTTCTTCCTCTTTTCCCTGTTAGATCTTCAGCTGCATTTCACTCTCAGCTAGATGCAACAATTAGAGATCTGCATGCAGAAGTGTGTTTGCCACCAAAACACTATGAAGAGTTAATTTAGAGCACAGGTGTCTAACTCAAGGCCTGGGGGCTAGATCCGGCCCACAGGGTACTTAGATCTGGCCCGCAGGGCTGCCCTGGAAAGAGCAAAGGATCGTCCTGTGGTGCTTCTGCTAGTGAAAATGGGCTCCTGAGCTCCATTTTCGACTGCCATGGCCTCCTGCAACCCTCTGCCAGTGAAGCTCCGGATCCCATTTTTGCTGGCAGAGTGCTTGGCCCCCAAAGGTGCCCCCAACACGAGTGACATTGAGCTGGTCACGCCCACCTGGCCACGGCCCCCCAGCCCCCCAAGGTAAAACATAACCCTGATGCTGTCCTCAATGAAATCGAGTTTGACACCCCTGATTTAGAGGATGTGAAGAGGAGATGAAATTGCAATTTTGTCAGAAGCCAGAAGAATGGTTTCCAAATCCCCTTTTTCTTTTCTTGATGCTGCATCTCATCCATTCTTGGACTAGTCTGAAGAATGTTGTCCATTTGCCAGTGAAAATAAATAATATGTATTCAGACCTACAAGTCTAATAATAGTAACATCCACCTAAATAGCTTTATGGCATTTAAAGCAAAACTGCATGTATTATGACAAGTATTGGAGGTCATATTTTATTTTGTCAAACAATAATTGAAGTTGTTATGGCATTTTAAAAAAAGTAATTACTATGGAATAATTGAATCATTTGCGATTACACTCATATTAGTAGGAAAATGAGACTCTTCCCCAGGAATATTGAACAGTTAAGTAAGAGTTAGCTTGTCAACCTTTTAAAAAGCATGCATTTTAGTGGAAAGCTGTATATCAACTTGTTACTGAACATGTTATTTCCTAAAGCATACAACATGTCATCCCTGACTGAAAAGCTGCTGTTCAAGTTTCTTATCCTTCACTGCTACATATATTTGTTTCTCTTTGTTTTGTTTCATATCTCAACTGCAGGATTGATAACTTCTATCAAAGAAATAGCAGAGTTCCCTTAAATGACAGCAGTGCTCCCTTAAATGATAATAGTGTTCCCGGTGCTATTTATGGAGTGTTTGAATATTGTGTTGTGTTTTGTTTTGTTTTTGTTGAAAAGACAAGTGTACTTGCATGCAGAAGATAATTGAGTCTGACTAGTGAAATGAGGTTGAAATGATAAGCAGAAACATCTTAACAATTGACACTGCCTGTTTCTGTGTAGATATATTTGGAAATAAATGGAGACTACATTGAAATTAAACATAATTTTCTCAAACATCTGTATGTGATTTATACAGTTGTATCCAGTTGTACTGTGAGCTCTTTGAATTTGGATTAATCCAACTAATTCTGGTTTATTGACTAAGCTATAGTTAAACAAACCATGTCTTTATGCAAGGGTAGAGGAATTAGAGAGGTAGAGGAGTTCAACTCAGCCTCCTAATTATATGAAATGCTTCAAACAGCCATCTGGCAGCAAATAAAATAATGAATGAATGAATGAGTATCAAGTTCCATAATAGTAACTAAGAAAAGTAGATTTTCAAAAGACTTGATGGTTAGATTTATTGCAAGAAAAAAAGTTGTAGAATTTTGAAAATTGAATATCTTTGTATTTTGGCCCCTTTTATTAGCAAGTATGTTAAGGCAGGTCAATCTGGATGTCTTTGATTTTCTTTCTTTCTTTTTGGTTTAAGAGGGAGCTGGGTTATCCATTTAGTAGATGTCCATTGGTTCTCATTCTGCAGTGTTTTGCAAATGTCTATTTTTTTCTCAGACAAGAATTCATTTCATGGGGGTAGATTAAACATTTTTTTCAGATTATTCATTTGTTCAACTGGATTATCCGCTTCTCTCAGCTGGCAAGACAAAAAAACCTCTGCAAGAATAGATTTCTAAAGACACAAAACTTCAAACAAGCTGATTGGTTTATTGTAGGAATGCTAAAGAATCCAGCATTGCTATGAACCAAATACAATGTTTATTTAGCATAAAGTTTGATATTGTATCTATATTAAATCATAATCTATCAGTTTGGGGGAATACAATGTGATCTGCTTCTTTTTTCTACCATCCCTGAAATTGAAATTGAACTAATCAAGAAGTGATGAAATTATCATTATCTTTACTTTTCACTTTATTGATGATTAACTGACTTTAGAATAGAATAGAATATAATTTTTTATTGGCCAAGTGTGATTGGACACCTATACAGTCTTAAGATTGTATAGGGCAGTGATGGCTAACCTTTTTGCCATCATGTGCCAAAAATGGGGAGAGTGTGGGGGGGTCGCACCCACGCGTGCCCACACCCATAATTCAGTGCACCCCACTCCTCCCGTGCAGGCATGCATGACACCCTTGCGCTCCCCCCGCTTTTGGCACGCGATGGCACGGTGGGCCCAGTAGGCCTGTTTTTCGCCCTCCCCAGGCTCCAGAGGCTTACTTGGAGCCTGGGGAGGGGGAAAACAGCCTCTCCCATCCCCCCGGAGGCCCTCCGGAGGCCAGAAATGGCCTGCT